GACGTCACTAAATCACCGACGGGACTCCCGGAAGCCGGCGGAGAGGGGAGTGTTTTCATTAGCGATCAAAAGAATTTTAAATCGATCAAAAAGTTTAACGATTAATCGAGAAATTAATCTTTAAATTTCCACAGCCCTAAAAGAAACTTTTGCCACCAAGAACATAGATAAATATTTCTTGATATGGGGAGCAAGTAACTCGCTTCTTTCTCTCATGAGACAGCGCTGGTGTTTAGTGATTGGCCACTCCGTCACCCAGAGCCATCACATGGAGGCTGCTCCAAGTGGTAAAATTATGGACAAAGCACCGATTTGTTTTTACATTTTTGCAGGACTCAGAGGATAGCATTACATGGCCGTACCAGGGACTAGCAAATATACTGTACATTTCTAATAAACCATTGTAAACTAATTGTAAACCATATCAAAACTAAATTGAGATATGTGCTGCAAGGTGCTAATCAACACCAGCTTTCTACCATGCATACAACCCAAGAACCTCCAAAAGCGGTCTATAACAATTTGAGAGAAAGCATTGCAGTCACCATTGCTGGAGAGTCTCCTGCCCTTTTCTGCTTTGATAATTTAAATAGGCAAGTAATTTATTAAGAAAAGGTTCCCCTTAGCAGTTACTATATGCTGATATTTCTGGGCTACTGTGCTGGATCTAGTGTGATTAGGTTCCTGAAAGTTGCCCATACACTGGTCGAATTCCAGCCGGTTTTTATTGTTGGGGCTGTCGGCTGGAACATTTGACAAAATCAGAGCCGGCAGCTAATGAGTTGCCCGCTATGATCAGGTATTCTGACAGGGTTCGGTGGCTCCTGTCAGAGTACAATGTAAACAGCGGAATTCCTCGATCGACACGCTGTTTGCGTTAGAGGAATCGGGTCAATTTTTTTCGTTCAGCCCACAGGTTGAATGAAAAAAAAAATGATAGGTGTATGACCAGCCTTACACATAAGGGATTCTCAAAATCGGTCATCACATTGTCATTGGTCATTACCCTATTTTCCAACTATGTAGTACAACATATGCTATGGTCTTCAAATCTATATATACCCACATATAACAAGAATTGTGATTCTTTTTTTTGCTGGCTGCCTAACCTGATCTATGCATTGGTTAATGTTCTGAGAGCACTTAAAGTAGAATCATTCATTTATTTCCAATAATGAATCCGGATCAAACAAATATATATTGCTCAGCAAAGTATTTCTTTACATTTTTGTCCAAGCCCAGTTAGGTGATATCAACAGCTGGCTCCAACTCTCTCAGCTCAGCTTCCCTGAACTTCCGGTCTAGTACAAGATCACAAAGGACTGTACGTACTACAGTCTCCTGGCAGCTGCCCGCGACTAGCTTGGGGAATGGAAAAAGGAGAAAGGGGGAGGAGAAGGAGGAGTGGGGAACAGGGGAGTGGCTTGTCTTACGGTGCCTGTATGTGTTTGTGGAGACACACACAGCTTACTAGCACACACAGGAGAGGCTCCATAGGATTCTGCAAGGGAAAGGAGCCACCCTAAAGCAGGATATCAGGGCCAGTGCTCAGGGGACCAGCTGATTCTACAGGAAACTAAAACTTATAAACATCAAAGAGCAGAATCCATTGTAAGGGATATAATTAACAACTGAAATAGCTCAAACTTTTTACTTCCCTATAACAATTGCTGCAACGTTTTTTTGCTATCATGACAGTAACTGAATGGATTTGAGGAAACCTACTATCTATATGATCCTATAATATTTTGTTTCCCTATAAGGGACAGCAAAAAAGAAGGTCAGGTGTTTGTCACAGAGTGTTTGCACCTACAACAATCCTAGAACATTATAAACAACCACTCCCCGACATAATATACTGTTATAAGTAGTAAAATGACTTCAAATTGTAGGTCAAGGGGAGCAGCATAGTAACTCCATACCAATAAACCGATACATCAATGTATAAATCTTTTACATAGGGATTACATCAGATACCAAAGTTTAAAAACACCAGAAACCTTACATTGCTGTAAGGCCCATTGTAATTTCTACTGTATACATCTTTAATTCCTTTCACTACAGAGAGTATGACGATGATCTATGACAAATAATCCACTATTGCTTCACACAGTCATATAAACTCACGGTTATCAGCAATGTCAAGACCGTGGGTTTATGGAGATACTCTGTGCTGTAAATGAATTGCCCTCAAGGCAGAAGGAGAGGTCACATTCTTGGTGTCTCCTGAGC